ATAATGTCTACTTGTTCAATATATATTAGGTATGGCTAACAATCAGGCAGATAAGCAGCCCCTGCCTTCTCATTCTAATGCTCCGCCAAATCCAACTGCTAACATAAACTTGAACTTCACGCATGTTCAACCACAACCTTTCTCTTCACCCCATCATACATTCTCACCATTCTCACTATATGATGTCAATTATGGTGGAATGACACAGCAACCAATGTCATACGTGAGCATGTTAATCAGTCCATAAGGTTTGCTATTTCCCACAGCCAGTTCTCAAAGTAGTGGACCTAATCAATTTTCACCAAACACTGGTGATTCAGCAGAGAAGGTTATTCATGACGTTGATGGTGAGGAGCACACTTCACCAATGAAAAAAGGGAAAAAAAATTAAGCTCATAAGAAATCGGTCCTAGGGACAAGGTTAAACTCAAGAGGTGTGGCTAATAAGTTTTGGCTTCCAAGCACAATGACGTTCTCATTCCTTATCTTACAGAATTAGCATTAGATGGGCTAAAGCCAGACAAGAACTTCAAGGCAGAAGCTTATAAAATAGCAGCGATGAAAATCAACATGCAATTCAGGACTAATTTCACTCATATACATGTCATTAACCACTTGAAATGCTTGAGAAACAAATTCAATGACATGAAGGCTTGATTAACCACTTGAAATGCTTGAGAAACAAATTCAATGACATGAAGGCTTGCCTTGATATAAGTGGAGCTAGGTGGGATGAAATAAATAAAATGATTACACTGGATGACGAAACCTTGAAATCGTGGTCTCAGGTATAACATTCAGCATCTATATTGTCATTATTAATTAATACATTTGGTTCACAACTTATGATTATTTGTTATTGCAGGACAAATCCAAATCTAAGTTCAAAGCGTACATAAACAAACCCCTACCTCACTTCAAAAATTTACAAGTGATCATGGGTGATGACCAAGCTAAGGGTGAATTTGTTAGAACTGTGTATGCTAACATTGGGTCTAGTACATCCATACCTATTCCTGAAGATGATAGTGAAATTCCAGAGGAGAGTGAAACTACACCACAATCTGATTCTTGTAACCAACAACAACCGACTAGATGTAAGTCTAAGAGTAAAGACAACATGAATTCATCTTCTAACAAGAAACCTAAAAAATCAAATCGTGAAGAGGAAATGTTATGTGCCTTTGTTGACTCAATGTCTCAGTTAATGAGAAATCAACATATTGTTCATTGGACTGAGCAGTTGGCTGCAGCGTTGAAGGAACATAGGAATGAATATTCTGAGGAATTTCTGGATAGGATTTTAGATCACTTATATGACAATGAACGTGAAGCTAGAAGGTTTTTCATAAAAGTCAAGGAAGGTTAGCAGAGGTACATTACCAACCTGATTAACGACCAAGGTTGGTCTGTTAACTAATTTGCTCGGTTTGGATTACATGTTGATGGAGCATTTTGTTGTGCACGCGTATATGTTGTTGCGCATATATCGTTTTATTATTTGCAAACTATTAATGTTGCAATACTTCTTATTATAAAAATGCTATGACATAATGTAATTAATGAATTGGTACTTTTTAACTTTTGATGCAGGTAAGTATGGATAGGCATGACCAATGAGTTCTTAATGTTGCTCCTTTGCTTTTTTAGCTCTTTGGCTTTGGGTTTTTTTGCCATCAGGTCGTGGAGCTTGTGTAGCTCCTTGCCTTTGGGTTTGTGGCTGTTATTTGGAGCTTGTGTAGCTCCTCAATCTCTTTGGGTTTGTTGTTATTTTGTTTTGAGCTTGTGTAGCTCATTGCCTTTGGGTTATATGAGGTTTTGTTTTGAGCTTGTGTAGCTCCTTGCTCTTGGGTTTGTGACTGTTATATGGAGCTTTTGTAGCTCCTTGGTCTTGGGTTTGTGGCTGTTATTTGGAGCTTGTGTAGCTCCAATTGCTTGGGTTTGTTGCTGTTTTGTTCTGAGCTTGTGTAGCTCCTGTGAATTAGGTTTGCTGGTGTTTTGTTTGGAGCTTGTGTACCTCCTTGCTGCTGGGTTTGTTGCTATTTTGTTTGGAGTTTGTGTAGCTCCTTGTTGCTAGGTTTATTGCTGTTTTGTTCTGAGCTTGTGTAGCTCCTGTGAATTAGGTTTACTGCTGTTTTGTTTGGAACTTGTGTACCTCCTTGCTGCTGGGTTTGCTGCTGTTTTGTTTGGAGCTTGTGTAGCTCCTTGCTGCTGGGTTTGTTGTTGTTTTGTTCTGAGCTTCTGTAGCTCCTGTGAATTGGGTTTGTTGCTGTTTTGTTTGGAGCTTGTGTAGCTCATTGCCTTTGGGTTTGTTGTTGTTTTCGCTGGAGCTTGGGTTGCTTTGTTGCCTTTGGGTTTGTTGCTATTTTGTTTCTGAGCTTGTGTAGCTATGTAGGCTGCTATGTGGGAGCTGTTTTGTTTTTCCTTGCCTGTGGGTTACTTGTTGTTTTGTTTTGAGCTTGTGTAGCTCCTTGCAGTTGATATTTGGCAATGATGATGATTAGCATTTACTGAGAATGTAATCTAACTTACATTGTTTATTATATTCAGATGAGGCAAAAGGGGATGAGATTGCAGCCTACATTGAATTGACAATGTCTAGGCGAGGCAATTCATCCTTATAATGCAATCTGTAATAAAGATGTAAGTTATAGGTGGGGCAATCAATTATGACAAGTTGATCTATTACTGAGCCATACAATATCAATTAGAATTTATACCCAATTCCAAAAACAGTTTTTATTACAACCTCAATAGTTTTTGCAAGTACAAGTACATGACATGCAGTTTGTAATAATTAAAATAATACAAAAAATTACTAATAAAATTAATGAAATTTTCCAAGCTACTAGTTGATTTTCGACAAGTCTCAATTCTTTCTTCAGCCTCTTTGATTGCAAAATATATTTATCTTCGTACTTATTTTCTTTGACATATTAGCTTCCTTGGTTGCTTGGGTCTCCTCTTTCATCAGCCCATTCGAAAAAATTGCATTCTTTATTTGGAAATTTTGCACACCCCCAATAATACCTTCCCTTATTTTTACCTTTCTTGCACACTTTCATTGGTGTTCGGAGATTGCAGTCGCAATAAACTTCATAATTTTGGTAGCACTCTTCTGATATCATATTGATGTCTAGGATCCAAATTGCAGACAATGGGAATTTATAAATTGCTGAGAAATGAGAATGCATGGATTAATTTGAGGCCTCAAGTTGAATTTATAGCCACTATGACCCTAAACTAGTCGTTGCTACAGTGTTATGTCTTTGAATTTTGAAGATGGTGGTAATAGCCGTTGCTACAGTGTTTTTTCTTTGAATTCTGGAGTTGGGGGAACTAGCCGTTGCTACAGTGATTTTGTGATGATCAGTGAGCTAGCCGTTGCTACAGTGTTAATCCCTAAAAAAATTTCATTCTGAACCAAACATGGTATTAGGAATTGGAGGGTTTCTATAAAAGTGAGATTTCATTCTGAACCAAACATGGTATTAGGAATTGGAGGGTTTCTATAAAAGTGAGATTCTTTTTTTCTTTGGGTGAAACAAACATAGAATGCAACAAAAATAGGATTCCATAAAACTAAAACTTGTCTATAAATTTTTTTTATGGATTAGGTTGGAATCCATAAATAAAATAGGATTCCTAATCCTATTCCTAGTCTCTATTGAACCAAACAGGCCCTTAGAGTTTTCCATCAGTAGCAAGAAATAATTTTTAGAATAAGGAATTTGTTTAAATTACTAAAGAAATACGAGTTTCTAATTTTATATTATTTTGCGGAGGTCCCACTTATTTAGATGTTCCAATTCAAAAGCACATTCCTAATGGCAAAAATACCAAATTGCTATCTTTTGTTTACCCTTAGTCAAAGTTTGGTATATATTATTTTTTGGGTAATATATTGATATATTATTTTTTCTCTGGCGACAAATAGATCTCAAATTGTGCCGGACCCAAATTTTCGGCGAAATTTCTCACGTGGTATAAACATGGCTGCCAGCGTGACTTCCAGCGTCATAAATCAGCTCTAATCCTAAACCCTAACCCCTAAATCTCCTTCCTCCTCCTCCTCCACCTCTCCCTCTCCACCCTTCTCTGCTCCAGGACAAGTCCGACGACTCAGCAATAGTGCGGAATTGAGTTTTTCGTCCGGTGGATCTGATCTATAGTTAGGGGGCAATACATACCAAAAGGTTCGAAGAAGGAAGGCGCAATTTCGTCTCTTTTTCTGCTCGGGCTGTCAAAAGGGTTCGAGCATATGATGATCAACCGGATAATGAAGAAGTATGGAAATCTCAATAGAGAGTCTTTCAATCCGCCGGAAGCTGTCAACAATGGGATGTGGGAGCTCCTTCCATTAGGGAAGGAAGCACAATTCTCTAACGCCTCTTTGACCTTCATCCTCTTCAAATCCTCCCTCAACTCTCAATGTGGTGAGCTTTAAAACCTTGAATTCTAGGTTTTTTATGGATAAGGGGATGATTTTGGATGGGATTGGTTGCAATTATTTGTCACTGGGAGCCACGCTGGCAGCCACGTTGGCATCACGTGAGGCGTCACGTGAAAAATTTCGTCAGAAATTTGAGTCCGGCCAAATTTGAGACTCGTTTGTTGTCGGAGAACAAATAATATACCAAAATGTCGCCGGCGAAAAAATAATATACCAGTATGTCACCGGATAAAAATATATACCAAATTGCCACCAAGGGTAAACAAAATATACCAATTTAGTATTTTTGCTCATTCCTAATTCAAGTTATTTTCTCAAATCCAGCAACTCAAAATATAGCTATTGTTTTTTATTATAAACTCAATATTTTCCTTTATATCTTAAACCTAACCAGGGTTCCTAATATACGCATGACACTTATCTTTGTGGCCGGCCCAGATGGCCTTTGTATTGGGCAGCAAGACAACTCATTTTTAATTTAATCTGTAGTCATCTTAATTAACCTGCCTAGATTTGTAAATTTGTGGCGTTAATTGGTTCGTCACATATTGTCATACATACCCCAGTATCTTAAGCTTTTCTATTTTGATTGATTTAAATTTCCATCCACCAAGTATTTCCCATTCAATATCCTCTACATTCACTCCAAGAACTAATATAATACATATTGCAACACTGGTCTATTACTGGACACCATCTTGAACCATTGACCCTCAGGATCACAATCTTGGTCGGCTTCACCAAGACAGCATTGATATGTCATGAGAGTATAGCCGTCTCTACCAACATCTAGGCACAAATCAGTCTCATTCATCGAGGAAATGTGCATTCTGGTGGCGGATATAAGATCCCATTTCATAGTAGTGTCAGGGCTGTAGTCTGAGAGTGTCACGTTGTAACCTGGACCAAAATCTCTCGCGAATAAGTTTGTTCCTTGAAGTTGGATCAATTTCTCCTTCGTGTACCTCCAGCCTTTCGCTGAGTCACAGGACCCTAAACTCAACTCTGATGACTCAGTCGGGTTTACACACATTCCAGATGTTGGATGGTAGAGTATAGTGTGAAGTGCGTGGTTGAGACCTGGACCTGCACCATGGAATCATATAATATTTGAGAAAATTCTATTAAGATTTAAGGATATAGGTATAAATTTGATGAATAATTATGCAGAAGCATACAAATTGCATAAGGTATCACCGAATTAGACGTTAGGACAACAAATACCTTGGAAGGGAGACCTCAGAGAAGCAATCCTGTCTAAGAAGGTTTGATTCCTTTTTCTCTCCCAGTTTAAACTGAAAACACCATAGAACTCCTCAGCATCGACTATGCCTTCTCTAAGATAATAACTTCCTTGCAAAGCCCAAAGTCCCCAGTCAACATCAAGTGCAGCTGCGGTAGCCAGAAAACATCCCAAGTATCGGTTGTCATTATTGTTCTCTCCCCTTTGATCGATTCCCCACTCGCTCATAAACAAGGGCCATCCATGACTTAATAAGAATCCTGCTCTGCTCATCACGCTGGAAATTACAGAACTACAAGCATCATTGGCATTCAAATTCCAGGTGTCACCATTGGTGAAACTGTACCAATGCATCTCATAGACCTCCTTGGTGGTAAATGACAGCTCGATTTTTTTATTCGAGAGGAAACTGAGGTCTGTGTCAAAGTCAAGTCCTGAAAGTATCACAAGAACATTGGGATTTGCCTTGTGCACTGCCTCGGCCCCCATTTGCATATACTTATACCAGTCTGGAACATTTTGTCTTGGACCTCTGAGCTCATTTCTTAGGCTCATGCCAACTACATTGTAGTCTTCTTTGAACATTTCTGCCATTTTAGTCAGCCCTGAGATCCAGTCTTTAGGGTTGAAGAATTCATCCCCGAAGAAGCCATCGCCATCATGGTAGTTGCAACACCAGCCTGGCTTGGTTATGTGATTGTCGAGTATCACCATTATATGGTTGCTTCCTAGGTTCGACACTACAGCCTGCGTGATGTTAAATCCACGTAAGCAAATAGGAAACAAATTAGCCCGATTGTCTTTCTTCTTTTTAGGGTCCCATATGGTACTGTTACATTCAACAGAAACTGAATAAATGTGAGTAGATTCTAATAAATCTCCATCATAGCATTGAAACAGCCAAGTCCAACTCAACTCCAATACTATAACTCAATTGTTAATGAAGTAAGCATGGCAACTTAACATGTCATAGACGAACAAACGCGCACCATAAGCAAGTGAGATAGCATGTGCACCTGAGGGAACCTAACGTATGTTCGATCAAGTATCCCACTTCATATATATTGTTACATTATCAGCTCCACTTTGAATCTCATTCCATGTTAACAGTCTTATTGCAAATAGAGTATTCAAATGTCCGTCGCTCTGATCTGAGATCCATTGGGTTCTGCAAACTTATGAAGCGAGAGGACATGGCTAATCTATTTGGACGAAAATTGACTAGAACAAATTCAATGTTAATTGACTCCTTACTTCAAGCAGATTTAGCCATTTTCCATCACAAGTCTTCTGCTAAATCTTATTTCATGACTTTATTAGAATAAACTCACATATTAATTAATTAAATAGAGGTGAGACGCTCTAAAAATCTTACTACCCATTTTTCGTTGATGACGCTTCCATCTTGATTGGTGTAAAGGACGAGGATGGAGAAGATGAAGCTGAAGAAGGACATGGATAAGGAGAAGCTCAAGTAGGAAAAGGCAAAGAAAGATGTTTTTCTTGATTTTCAAGGTTTTTGTTAATCAGATTTCAAGGTTTTTGTTTATCAGATTTGGAGATCTGGAGATACTAATAGTTGGAATTAATACATTTCTTGAAATTTGAGTTATATTATGTATACTGGTTATTTTGTCAAGCTGGTTTGATTTAGCGGCATATGGCCTGGTTATACTAAAGTTATTACTACCACTACGATAGTGAAAATTTGCAAGTAACTGATTCGGTGAAACATCGCTAATACATTGGATATCTTCAACTATAGATAATTTTATTGGAGTTTTCCATTTGCTATTTCCATGAAAAGCTACAATAAAGTACTGTTTTTATTGCTTGTTCGGTGGATATTATAATTTTTCTGCTGATTTATAATTCAGCATCCCCACCTTCCATGTTTAATTTTAAGTGCAATATCTGGCCGAATGCAGAGCATGTGTTTCAAAACCAATCAAGAATATATGCTCGTGTTGTACGTTTTCATGTTTTCTTATTCTGATAATCTATTTTTATTCTATGCTTATTTTATGTCTTCAGTAACGAATTAAGAGAAGCTTACTCTAGACTATATAACGTGAGGTAATTTATTGTTTTTTACGATAACAACGTGAGGATAAATATTAAACACTACAATTATGAAAACAAAAATGGAATTAAAATAATGATCCACTAAAAATTGCAAAATCTTAAAGTGAAAGAATATATTAATGAAGTTGTATTTTCTTCACATCTTTCGAACTCAACTACTAAAACAAATATATACTAGCAACTAATTTATTATTATTATTTAGGACAAAATTAAATCCGAGATCACAACTTCAGAGTGGCACATATATTGATCTGAGTATAGTTAGCAACAATTTTTACTACATAAAAATCAACATTAATTATTTGGATCCTTCTACACCCAAAAAAGTAAGACCTGTACTTTTTCTTAAACTCGTACACAGATGATTATGATTTAATTATTTCAAAATTTAATCAACATTTCTCATATCTAGCTTGTACTGGAATCATTCGAACTTTTCACTCAAACCAATTACCACAACCATTCACTAAACGAATACACCTCTCCCCTCCTTTTAGTATATGAGTTGTACGCTAGCCAGCTATATAGTTCCCATAAAGGGTAGAAAAAGAAAAAGAAGAAGAGTATCTCACCTTGAACGCTTGGATAAGTGTTTGATCCAGTATCCAATTATTGTATGTGTATATTCCGATGATGGACGCATTAAGGCCAAGCCGTCGAAGTGACTCATGGACGGTGATGGAACCGGATGGTTCCACGGAGGAATCAGCGACTAGGTAGGTTGGCCATGTTAGCCGGACACAGTTGAACCTCATCGAACCGATGGTCTTTGATATTTCATCCAATGGCCTCTTGTCGAGCCCCTCTGCCACCATAGTTTCCAAATGAGACGCCCAGTTGACGCATGCAAGCTTCACCCGTTGACCCGTGATCTCATCCACGATCCATCGGCCTGACGTTGAGAGAGGGAGAGCTGAGGCTGGCTGTGGAATTAGGGTCTGGAAAAGGATGGAGAAGAGGAGAGAGAGAGAAGAGTGAAAGAAAGAGGGCTTCATGGTTTAGGAACACTGTTGACCTGTGAGAACAAGACGAAGTGTGTATAAATAGTAGGACTTTCCCTCGATAAGATTCAAGCAATAAATGTAAAACATTTGAAATGGCATGGTTTTGGTTTGTTGACACGTGCCAATTTATTCTTAATCTTATCTTTCGCATTAACGGTACATGTATCTTTTTGTAGAAATAGCAAGTTGGCTAAATTAGTACTTACTATTCCTATGTTACATGTATCTTCTGTTAAATCTGAAGGAAATCGTGCTATGTCTACATGCATAATACACAACGGAAGACATGTATGTACAAAAATA